GTTTTTAGTATTTAGGTATAAGAAGACTTGTTTTCTGACAAGTCGTATGTCAGTTTTACTTCCTGTCTGTCTTCCCTCGATTTCCTAATTGTTACCTTCCTGTGTCTCCTCCCTAATCAACCTTCTATGTGTATAAACTCTGTTCTTCACCTGCCTTTCTTTGGTTCTTTGTGGAGCTCTGGTTATATCCCCTGTGTGTTCCCTGCCAGTATATGGATAGCGTTCGATTTTTCCTTGTAGACTTTTGTTTTTTGGACTTTTAGTTTAGCCTAAATAAGCTGCTCCCTTTCTGTGTAATCTGTCTGCCTCGGACGTCCTGCATTTGGGTTCCCTCTCCACTTCTCCACGTCTCACCAAATTAACCTGTCATTAAGAATTTTTAACATTTTTCACTTGTGTAAATTTACTGTTATGTGTGTTATGTTACTAGATTATGTAATTAAACTCATCCTCTTAATTTTTGCTTTACATTAACAAACCCAGCTGTTATTTGATTTAGGAAATAATACATAAAGTATTTATAAATTTCAAGTAGCTGAATGTTGGACTATATTTTGTCTATATGTTGAATCGTGCAATTTCCTTTTGCAGCTTTTGGCAAGTAGCTGGAGATTTCCAGTTTTTATTCCTCAAGAAGGTAAAAATAAATGAATTTGATATTATTCAGCTCGATGGTCCTGGTGCTCTGCCATGTAAGAAGACGCTGATAAGACACAGAATAAAAGAATACACTCTGAAACACAGAAACAAACACACTGCCTTGTTTAGGAAAACAAATGTTCACTAAGTATAATCTCCACATGACACACCCTATACACACACACATAGAAAGCAAGAAACAAACACATACAAACAAACGAGGTTCCTAAATCAGTCTCCTGCTGACATGTTTGACTTCTGAGGTCTATATGATTGCCTCTAGCCTATGAGCTGGTAAACAGTTAAATTACCCCCCGAAGTCAAACAAAATGTGTCACGTTGGAGCATGTTATGGGAATTATGTTTAGATCAGGTTTACTGTGGTGCAAAAATAATCTTCCAAAAGACACAGAATATAAAATATAGATGGGTTCACTATGAAAACATTTCATATCAAGAAGAAGAGAAATGAGCACACACACTACAGCAGGTACGGTCGTCCACTTCTGATGTTTGCTTTTACTATTCTACTACTACTACTCTGTTTGTCCTCCTTCCTGATAAGAGGATTTCTACTCTTGCCTTCACTCTGCCTAACCTCGCAGGTTTGCAGAAATAAATAGAGACACCTGAAAAGTGATCTGAGACCTTTGCACAGGCCTAATTTATCATGTTACTGAGAAAAAATATCCCTTCTGCTTCTCGCTGAATCGTATTTTCAACTTTTCAAGTTATCACCACATCTTTTTCACTGATTTGTCATGGCTTATCTGCTTCACGATAAACAAACTCATATTTCGAAACAGCATTTTGAGACAGTAATCCATGCCTTTGTTACTTCTAGGCTGGATTATTGTAACGCACTTTATTTTGGGGTTAGTGATGCGTCCATTAGGCGCCTGCA